TTCTAATGCGGTTTTCTGTCGAGTATGCGATGTAACCTTTCGTGCGTAACTGCAACAAAATCGAGGCCGCATCTTGATACTCCCTGTTCTAGAATACAAAACGGAAAATGCCGGATTAGGCGGCGAAAGGAGTAGTTGCATTAAACATGGAAACAATAAGGAGATAGAGTGCATGTTGCGGCCTCGATACGGTTATATCTTGTCACGAAAAGGCTGCCGGTTGCGAATGTTCACGAATTTGAGCCAATGATCGCAAAGCTTTCTCGCGGTACGTTTCGAGCGTTATTATTACCTCCTCTGCTCGATCCAACATCCAGAACAATCCATCTTCATGATCACTTTCCAATGCCTTATAAGCTGCTTCATCTTCAACAGCCCTGAAATTGGTTTCACCTTCGACCAATCGCAGCCACTGTTCATGTTCCCATCCAGACACTACACTGCACCTCGCATCTGCTCCACTTTTTTCTTGATTACTCCAGCCTTCCTCTTGAAAAGCTATTCCGGATCTATACCTTCGCCCGGCTAGTCTCCCACAATATTGTCGCATTCTTCGAAGTACTTCTTCAACCTCGCCTTTGTGGGTAAGGTTGCTCTCTTAATGTCGCCTGACATCGTGATTCTATAAAGCTAATCGAGCTGTTCCGCTCAAACTTGATACCTCACTCGGTTTGGCTGCTAGATCGCTGCGGCTTTTCAGCTTGCACTGGCTGAATCGATTTTCGGGCTAATGTGCTTACTGACTATTTTACCGGTTTTTCTCGGTTCGTCGCACTGGAAAAATTTTGTGGAACAAAGCAAGATTTGAAAGTGCAAGCTAACCACAAAATTATTTCGCCGGATTCATTGGACTGATATCCTCCAGCACTTCAATAAGCAATTGATCCTAGTTGCGCTTCATACGAATTCCCGGAGTCCACCGCCGAAAAATATACCGACCTTTTCCCGGGTTTGTTGTACCGCGATGGCATAGGTGGCCTTGTGCTAAGAAGAAAGTTAAGAATGTGCCAAAGGAGGACCCCGTGCAGATTGGATTTACTTAGTCGTCCGAGTGTAAGTAGGAGGGTGCGATTACTTTGACCATGAAGGCGCATGAAAGTTTGTAAGTTCGAAGCGCTACCGAAAGGCAAATGCAGTACAGTGTCAATAAAAGCATGGCTGATGGTGATGGAAGCATGACGTCTACGACCGTGTGAGCGTAGGAGACGAGGGAGACAAACGTGAAATTAAGGGGTAATACTGCAGCTGTGAAATGCGTCCTGTATAACAAATAGAAGAATAGCAGAATTTCAGTTGAATGTCATTTGTTTGAAGACATTTTATGACGCAGTCTGTGTTTCATCCCCTAGCTGTATACAC